GCAAATTCACTCATCCTGAAAGGCACAGAGAAAATAAATGTCCATTCTTTATTTCTCAATAACTGATCTGTTCTTTCACATCAGGTCCCTAGGGGAGCAAATGGTTTGAGGGCCAGGAAAGTTACTTTGATTCAATTATTCAAGCTTACAGCCAATCTTAAATCCTTTCCAATAAATGCTGTGTCTTTGGGGACAAATGCATAGACTTTCCATTGCAGACCCTGCTCTCTCACCCATTTCTTCCTGCATAGGGTTTCCAGATTTAGCAAATAAGAACACAAGGTATCCAGAAATATTTGAATTTCAAATTAGGAGCAAAGAATTCTTGGGGAGTATGTGCTGTATTATACCTGGCATATTTATAACTAAAGAGTTACTTGTGTCGCTGGAATGCTCATGTCCTGGACCTCCTGTATTTTTTCCTGGTAGCCCTGTCTAGGAGAATAGGGTAGGGCCATGGTCAGTCCAGACTTTTTCTGCACTTGGATGCGCATTGGGTCATGCCTGGGCCAGTCCCTGGGCAGTTGAGCTGTGTAAGCTCACCATGGCCACAGTTGGCTCTCTCTCAGCTCAGCCAGGGTTCAGGTGCTCCTTGGATGATTCAGCCTCACCATGCCTTGCCGTGACACTGGAGACTGCTTTGACGTCTGCCACATCCCCTTTGGGCCTGGACTACTTGTCCACTTCACAGCCTAGGCTGGAGTGCCTCTAAGCTCTCATGATGTGACTAAACTCCCTGGTTCTCCACTTGACTCACTGTTACCTAGGCACTTCTGATAATGACCCCAAACCAAACCCAGTGCCATGGAGCTGGGTCTGTCTCACAGGACAGTCAGTGACCCTGTAGGACAGAGGCCAAACTGCAAAGCTTTCCAGAATGGACAGCCACTAAGTAGCTAGTTTCGAAGCACATAATGGTTTCAGAGGCTTCTTCCTCCGAAGTGGGGAGCAGAGTCCTTCTTCATAGTCTGTTCCTTAGTCTGAACACTCCTTAGTCTGCCGAAACCTGTTCACTTTGGGTGGCTGTGCTACATTTGAAATACCAGCGATATAGCTTCCAGCATCACAGCAACACACAAGCCACCATAGTAACAAATGGACAGACAAGTGTGACAAGGATGGCAAAACTTGATCATCGTACATACTTTGGACATGTTGTCAGGAGAAGCCAGTCCCTGGAGAAGGACATCAAGCTTACTAAAGGGGATGGGCAGCAAAAAAGGAGAAGACCTTCAACAAGAGGCTTGACACAGTGCAGCATTCCCTTTTGCTGGGCATAGGGTCACTATGAGTCAGAAACCAAATCAAAAGACCCTAACAACAACAAACTAAATACAGATCTCAACTGCTGGCTTTGCAGTTAGCACGCAGTGAGTTACCACCATACCACCAGGGCTCCTTGAGCTCAGAGCCCCTAAGTCCAGTGCTCCCTCTACTCAAAGAGTGTGTTTCCTCCAGCTGTGATGTGATCTTCTCCGATGAGTTCATAGCATCCCCCAGTCCCCACCTGAAGTAAAGCAAAAGCTTCACCCCCGAACCGATCACAACAATCGACATATAACCCCCTCCCAGAGGGACAAACACAGAAAAGTGGATGAAGGGAGGCATTGGTGGGTATAAGTCACGAGAAAAGTAAAAATTTATAAATAATCAAGGGTTCGTGAGGGAGGGACATGGAGGATGGAGGCGATGAGCTGGTCCCATGGGCTCAAGTAGAAAGAACATGTTTTGAAAATGATGACAACCTATGTACAAATGTGCTTGACACAATGGAGGAATGGATGGGTTGTAATAAGATGTGATAAGAGCTGGAAGAGCCCCCGATAAAATGATTTTTGAAAAGCAAAGTTTTACCCCAGGCTGCAGTGTTCCCATAGGAACCCATCGCCTACCTCCCCTTCCTGTTTCTTCCCTTTACTCTCCCACAGGCCACCAGGCCACTAAGGGCAGCGTGTAGAGTCAGAACTACACCTGTCCACTCTATGTGGCCTCGCACCAGCTATATTCCAAACACGGTTGTAGATGCTGGAAGGAATGGCAAGGGGGACAAGTCCTCGACTGTCATGGAGCCCCCATCCTGGTGCAGTTGAAGGACCATAAACACCTCACTGTTAACCACATGCTACGATGCCCTAACACTCCAGGATGAGTTCTGATGAGCCGTACAAAGACAAAGGAAGCAGGATAAGGGGACAGGGGCTGGTAGTGTGGTCGTCGGGAAGAATGAGTGGAGAAGCCTTTGAGCAGATTGACTGAAGGGGAAGAGAAACCAAGCACATGTCCTGGGGCAGAGCACTCTAGTCTTGGAGAGAGTGGGGCAAGTGGGAACAAGCTTGGTGTGTGTAAGACCCTGCAGGGAAGGCAGCTAACTAGAACAGAATGAGTAGAGGAAGAGAGAAGAGCAGATGAAGTTAGAAGAAAAAAATCATCTTGCATGCCCTTCCTATTCATTTTAAAAGATATAAAATTAATTTAGAAAACCCCCTCCTTTTCTTTCTGGGCTCTCTTTTTGCTAAAGAAAATAGAGAAGTCAACTTGCAGATACACAGCTTATCAAGAGCCACTGATGGGTGGGTTTTGGGTCTCCACGTTGTCTATGCTTCTTCAAGTCAATTTGAGTGCTTGTTTTTGAACGTACGGTACCTATTCCCATCGACATCTTGTGATCACACAGGCTGGTAGGCTTCTTCCATGTGGACTTTGTTGCCCCCCTGCTAGATGGCTGCTTGTTTAACTATAAGCCTTTAAGACCCCAGATGCTATTTCTTTCAATAGCTGGGAACCATTAACTTTCTTCAACACATTTGCTTATGCATCCATTTTGTCTTCAATGACTGTGCCAGTAAGGTGGGTATCATACAATGCCACATTATTAGAACAAACCATTCTTGTACTGAGATAAGATTTAAGTAGAAGCCCAAAGTCTGTTTCCTTATTGTAGTTATATATATATACACACACATACATATAAATACATTGACTAATATGCTTATCTTTATATATTTACATAGATACATACATATCTCTATTTATACCTATATATTATATGATCACTTTCTAGCTCTTTCCTGTTTCTTTTTTCTTTCCTCCTGCCTCACTATTATGTTTACCTATCATTCACCTCTCAGCTGTTCCTCTCAGATATATTTCAATTGATCAAAAACGACCCAGAATGCTACACCCTTCTCCCTGTGGGTCTTATATCCCTTGCTACTCCCCTGTCCCTGTCACTAGTGGCTCCTGGCTGCCCTCCTCCTGCCTCCTCTATGCCCCCCCACCCCCACTCCCTGGAACCTTCAGTCCCGTTGATGTCTCCTTGGGATTGCTTATCCTGCCCATCTTATATAGACAGACACAAAAAAGAAGTAGGAAAAAAGAGATTATGCAAACAGTTCCAAGTCTAACCTGTATGACAATTGGACAGGCCCTCACAGAAGGGCCACGATGGGGGTGGGGGGAGGGCGGATATCCAGGGTGGAGTCTGGCACTGATGAAACATATAACTATCCTCTTCTGTAGTATTTCCTCCCTTGCTATTATGGTTCCAGTTTTACCTCATTAATCTTGTTAGACCTGCATCTATTCATTTATATAATGAAGATCGTCTGATGCATGAAATACAAGATAGATAAACCCATCAGAAACAGTAATGGGAGCAACAATTCCCTGGGGGTACAGGAAGAGGGGGGAGGGGGAACCAAGAGCGAAGATGACTATATAACCCCACTTGAGGGGAACGAATAACAGATTTATAGGTGAATGGATACAGTGGATCAGGTAAGATATGGCAAAAAGAATAATAATAATAATTATTATTTGTAATATAAAAATAAGGGTTCCTGGGGGATATGGTGTGGGAGGGAGGGGATAAAGAGGAGCAGATATCAAAGAGTTCCAGGAGAAAGAAAATGTTTGGAAAATGATGGTGACAATAATTTACAATTATGCTAGATTTAATTGAATTGTGGATTGTTGTAATATCTCTAAGAGCTCCCAATAAAATGATTTTTTTTTTAAAGCCACTATATTTCACTTAGCCCCGGAGAGCAGTAAGGTAGAGCAGTTGACGGCACAATGGAAAGGTATGCTGGCTGCTATCAAGTCAAATCGGAGTCCTGGCAGCCCTGCGATTAGAACAAGGAGCCAGGACTCGGCCGTGGGTCATCCTCGTCACCACTGGCTGTGGGAGTCCGTCGATGCAGCCAGGGTGCCCTTCCATCTTACCAAGGGTCAGCCTCGTCCTCGGAGCTTCAGCTTCCCCTCCACACATCCCGTCCACCTCCAGTGACTGATAACGTTCAAATCAGGGGAGTCAGACGGTTGTATGTTGTGATCCATACGTTTCCACCGACTGGATTTCAGAAGTCACCGGACCTTTCTTTCTCATCGGCCTCAGTCTGGAAGCTCCAACGAGGGCTGGCCACCTGCAGGTATTCTGAAATAGCCGAGGCAGTTTCCAACATCAGACCCACATGTGAGCCCCGCCAGGACAAGCTGACAGATAGGTGGCAGACATCGGAACAGTTTCCTATGTGGGAAAATGCTTCTGCTAGACTAATAACTTTTTACAAGGGATTATAAAAAACCAGAGGAAGATACGACCTGCCTCCTAGAGACGTCAGGGAAGACATATTGGCCAAAGGCAATAGGAGCAAGAAGTAATTTACTGGAACTCAATTGAGCCCACATGGGATTTGAATCTGGATCGCAAAAGTGATGTTACAGGGATGGAAACCAATTGTCAGTGCTCTGTGAAATGGTGTTATTGCTATCAGGATAACTTTTGAAAAGTACTATTCTGACTGGCTTTTTTGTCAATAACACGCATACAACATTAGAAAGGCAGGCCTGTACTGGCCCTCGGAGCCAGCCTTACTGCATCCCTCCTGGGGTGCCCCACTAGAGTCCACGCAGTTAATGCTCTTCCAAAGACCGCTGTCTATTTCTTGTTCTCCACTAACGGCTGTGTTTCTATTTCTCTCCTGACTGTGTTTCTACAGGTCCTGGAGTCCCCAAGGTGACCGTGCACAGTACCATAGATAATAAGAGTGAGTACCACTTGGTTTTCCCTTCGAGCTTCTTGAGACTCAAGGGAGCCATGCAAGATGCATTCCAGGTTAACTGGGCCCTATCTTCCTATTCGGAGACAAAGAGAAGGGTCCTAGCCCCTCAGTTCTGAAGTGACCCTGGCCATGGACAATCCCAAGGAAATGTGATGTAGGGAAGGGACAGTCCTTGAGGGATGTCTCAGAGGGGCAGCATCAGGGTCTCCCCAGCTTTCTGGAATGCTCTAAAGCAGCGGTTCTCAACCTGTGGGTCGTGACCCCTTTGGGGTTGCCTGATTCATCACAGTAGCAGAATTACAGTGATGAAGTAGCAACAAAAATAATTTTATGGTTGGGGTGGGGTCACTACAACATGAGGAACTGTATGAAAGGGTCACGGCATGAGGAAGGTTGAGAACCACTGCTCTAAAGAGTCCAAACCTGAGTGGGCTTGAGCAGTATGCCATCTTCTAAGGCCCTGTTCTTAGAACATCAAGGCGGGGTTCAAGGACTGGGAGACTCCTTCCTTTAGGTGCTCAGGTGCACCTTCCCAGTGTGGAGGATAGAGCTCTGGAGAGTCACCTGCAGAATACATAGTGCTTTTGTGCCTGAAGGGGCCCCAACCAGGAGTGCGTGTGTGTCAAGATTTGAAATGTGGAGGGTCATCGCAGGCTGACCCTAGGTATATTGAGAAGCAAAGAGTCTCTGTGCCCTCCCTTCTAGGCCTTCATCTACCCCAGCCCCCAAACCCTCATTCTTTCCTTTCCCTTACTCCAAATCCTCCCCCACACACCCCAATCCCCACTTCTACCAGGACACCTTTAGCTTCCCTCTGTGGTCCCAGCCCTGGAACCACCTGCCTCCTTCAAAAAACAATCATAAGAATCCCACTGCCATGGGGTCACCCGGCCCTCTTCTTGTCACCCGGGGATGCTGTCTCCCAGCCGTCACGCGAAAGGCGGGCCCTTGCCTTCTACTGATGAAGAATAGTCAGGTGAGGTCAAAGGTTCCACTCACAAAGGTTTATGAAAACACAGGAAGCCGTTTGTTATTTTAGTGGAAATGAAGGGGGACTATGCAGCACTACCCTGGCCCCCCTGCAGTTGGCGAGCATACAGAATATATTCATTTTCCTATTCTAAGGGCCTTATACAAATGTATAAAAGAGTCTGGAGAAATGATAGGGTTTTCCTGGATGAGGCTGATAGAATGTGAGAGCAGTTGATCCCCCAGATGGGCTCCTTGGCTTCTGGTTGGAGTCACCCCAAACCTGCAAGTGTCACTAAATGGATGCCGACCATAGTGTAAGGTGACCAGACATCCCACTTTTGGCAGGACAGTCCTGATTTTTAATAATTTTTCCCGCATCCCACGGCATTTCTTAAAAGTTCCGATTTTTGGAAAGAATGCACGACAAGCTAGGGTATACGGTTTTCGGCTGCCATGTGACTATTTCTCCAGGATATGAGTTTTATCAATGGTGTCCCGCTTTTGTCCCGCTTGACCAATGTTAAAATCTGGTCACCTTACCATAGTGCCCCTAGAGGACAGGGCAGAGCTGCCCCTCTGAGTGTCCAGGACTGTAAATCTTTACAGAATTAGACAGCCCAAGTGGTTGGAGTTAACTGGACTTATTCTGGGATGTTCCTCTACACACTGTAGTGGAGATCGTGAGGACTGGGTCAGAACGAGGTCTTTCTGAACAGCAGCTTTCAAGAAAACATTGATCTCCTTTATTCTGAGCGGGGTGCAGTGGTGAGCAAGAGTTGAGTCTGTCTGGCTGGGAGCTTCTGCTCTGTTCGGACAATGGTCCCTCTCGGTACATACTCCTAGAGCTCTTCGATTACATGAGGAACTCCTCCCTTTTAGCTCTTTGCCCCTTAAACTTTTTATGAGAATGGCTTCCTGGAGGAGTTTTCTCCAGGGCCCTACTATTTCCCATCTTCTTTCATTCTGACTCAAAGTTGGCTCACAGGGTTTCTAAAGCTATAAAGCTTTTTTAAGAACAGATAGCCCAAACTTCCCTAGTCCCCTCCCTCCCTGAGCAGCTGGCAGGTTTCAACTGCCAACCTTCATAAGTACATATCATCCTGGGCTTACCTTTTTTTCAATTGGGTACTCTGTCCCTGTCAAGGATTAGAATCTGGGAAGAGGCTTTGATTCTGTAGGCTGTGGGGTTGGGAGAGAGACAGATACCAGGTCTTCCTAGGAGCAGAAACTTTGATGTGGAGAATGAAATGTGAAATCGTTCATTAGACGTTAGTAAGGAAGCACGAGTAAACCCTTGCTTATTGGGCAGTCCCACTTGTGCTCCACAGTAGAGCATCTCTGCGGGTGGGACAGATGGTCTGCTTTTGCTTTGACTGGACCACTTTCACCTCTCCTGGTAGCCATCCTTTTGATTGTGCTTTGGCTTGAGAGTCATGCTGGTAAAGCCATGTTTCAACTCTTGTTACAATTCTTCCAAGAAATGCTTCGGGATCGTATTCTTCTTATTTAAAATCTCCACTGACATCTCCGCTCTTGTCTGCATTCTAAGCTGGGTGAAGTTCTGCCACCAGCCCATTGAAACAGCTGCTTGCCTATCATTCTTGAGTCGGTACTGTATACACTGAAGGTGGCTAGGGTGTTTGGCTATTTCTGCTGCTAAGCACTGACCTTTCTCAAGTAAGGCATGGACAAGAAGAAGTGTTTCCTTGAAAATGGGTGTGGATGATCGGCAGTTGTGGGCTTCACCTTCAGCAATGTCCCATTCACCCTTAAAACGGGTTGTCCACTGATTTTTGAGAGACCCAAACTTTTCCTAAAATGTCGATGATTTCATTATTCTTCCACCCAAGCTTCACCATCAATTGGATGTTTGTTCTTGCTCAAGGTGAGCAGCATCCCTATTGCCCCAACAGAGGTTCTTTTCAAACTCATGTTTTCCCCTTCTCAGCGCCTCAAACTTGACTCTGTTCCCTCATGTCAGAACCCGTCCAGGTGAGGGTTATTTGGATGCAAGAGAAATCTAGAAATCTCTGCATTGTTTTTTCATAACAGGCATTTTCTACTCCCTTGGTTGAAGGCTCCTCATACAAGGAAACGTGTTGGAGGGTGATTTTGCTCATGTGGCTGAATGAAAACATTACCACCTAGGCCAACATTTTGTCATGCAAACCACCATCAAGCCAAGCTGTGACCATTTCCTTGTGAGTCCAAAAGGCTAGAAATATGGAAGCAGCCATGGAAGGCTTGCCTTTTGGCAAAGTTGTCCTAAGGATCACTGCATGAATGATAGTGAAGCAAGCCTATGTCTTCACTCCGTGCACAAACACTTAGAAAATAGGTTCTGGATCCCACTTCTAAAAGTAATGCGAAGTTTAGGTGGGAGTCTGCATTTTTCCTTGGGAGTTGAATCCCAGCAAACCTTTACCAAATATCCTCTGAATGGGTGCAAGGTCCTAACATGCTCTCCATTCTGAGATGCTTTACCAACTGTATTGGGAAACCAAGCAATAAGTGTTTCCACCTGTTTGGTTGAACGGTTGCACGAATCAATCTGTCCAATCAGAACTGACAGATCCAGGTCCAAGAGAGACATCTGGATCCCATTGTGGAGCTCCAAAAGTAAATCAGTCAACTTAAGAAGTATTCAATTATTTGCCATTGAAGCATGTTCCCCATCTCTCAAGGTTCCACTCTGTCCTGTGTGAAATCTCACAGGGAACCTGGAAGGGAGACCCTTGTACTTTATCTCGACCAAGTGTTGATGATCAGGAAACTCGGTGTTTCTATCGCCGCATTTTGATGTGTAGAATTATTTTTATGATGTTTCTTTTATAACTTATTTAAGGAGCCCTGGTGGCACAGTGGTTACATGTTGGTCTGCTAACCACAAGGTCAGCAGCTCAAAACCACCAACCACTCCATGGGAGAAAGATGGAGCTTTCTGCTCTCGTAAAGAGTGATAGTGGCAGAAACCCACAGGAGCAGTTCTACTCGGTCCTAGAGGGTGGCTGTGGGTTGGAATGGACTCGTTGGTACCGAGTTTTCTTTACTGAAAGAGTTATATTGGAGCTCTGCGTTCCCATTGTCTCATTCAAATTGTGAGGCTATTCCACTTCAACCTGCAGGTTTCAGCATTTCTGTATCTCAATTTTGTTCCTAAATCCATCAAAATGTTGATTTAAGAAACCCTGATGCCAAACTAAGTTAGAAAGGTTATCATTAGATGTGACTGCTCTGGCTGCTGCCGGCACCCTCCTCTTGTCCAGGGTCTGTTTATAATCCGACCAAGTGGATTGAGCAGCACCTGGAAGATCTCTCAGATACTAGATACAGTGCCTGCAATTCCATCATTTGATATGTATCCCTGTGCATTACATCCTTATATCTGTGTGAAACCTTCTCTTAACATGTAAAAACCCTTTATATAAATGGGGAAAAAACCTTATATAAACTAGGGTTATATTTGGCTATATGTAAAGGAAAATGTTAAATAGCAGTTACTGAAGCCCAAAGGAGCTGTATTTCATAATGTGTTCAATGACTGATTTTTTTAGGAATAGATAGATGGTCATGTCCTTAATTCTAAAGCACCTCTGGGTGAATTCAAGCTTTCTTTCGGTTTGTAGTTGATCACAGTAATGTTTGCAGCTCAGATTGCACTCAATGGCACCTGCTTAAACAAGATGAGAGAAGTTTCTCTCTTGTATAAAGCTCAGAGATGGCGCTGGTAGCTTCCTGTCTACAGCAGCCCACCACACTTCTACTTGCCCATTCTACTCTCTTCAGCTGGTACTGTTCATCTGGGGGTTGCTACGTGATGCAAAACTTATCATGTCTCCTAGTCTAGCCCCAGACATGGAGAAAGGGGAGAGATCAGGAGATGGGCTTTTCTGTAGGAGAGACAGTCAGTCCCCTTAGGCTGTCTTCCAACAAGCGCCAAATGACACATCTGCTTACAGCTTAGTCACACGATTACAATTTAGTCAGAAATAAACTCCTAGCTACATATTATA